TAGATTACTTAAGTCAATTGATCTTTGTATTTTTTTTTTGTATTTATTAAAATTCAATACATATAATTCCATATATTTACAAATATCAAATTAGATGTATTAGGGCATACCATAAACCGAATTCAAGATTCCCTCAAGAATGGTTTCCCAATTACAAACAGAACATTAAACTAACATCACAGGACACATAATACAAATAATTCCTAAATTATATAATTTTACAATTTCTAAATTAAAAGTCTGAATTATATATTTTTTTTTTTTTTTTTTTTTTTTTTTCTTCTTCGCTCCAACAAGCGAGAAACTAACGTTCTTGATCTTATCATGACAAACATTCCAGACAACGTTAACAACATTGAAGTAATTGATCCAACCAATTTCAATTTGTTTTCCGACAACAAGTGTATACTCTTTGAGTTTCAAGGTACAGCAACACCTTCCCACAAGGTCAAAAGATCGGTTTACGATTACAACTGTGCGGATTTTGAAAAAATAAACCGTACTTCTGAATTGATTGGATTTGAATTTAGCCATCCCACATCGATATTGGACATTAACGAGCTGAACTGGAATTTATGGAGACACACTTTCCTTCCTGTAGCTGACGAATGTATTCCAACAAAGATTGTAAAAGGAAGATACAATCCACCATGATTGACTGGTGAGATTAAGTCAATGATCAAAAAGAAAGAAACTCTACGGCGAAAAATCCGCCGCGGAACAAATTTTGCTGCACTTGTACAGAAATACAAGAAATTCCGCCGTACATCTAAGAGATTAATAAAAGAAAGTCGGGAAAAGTTCTTTGGTTCCCTAAGCGGAGCTCTACCATCCAATCCGAAACTGTTCTGGTCATTTTTTGAAACAACCACTAAATCCAGCCGTATTCCACAGCAAGTTTCCGTCGCGACAGGCAACAAAGACTCCCCACGCTTAGATTGCACTAATCAAAAACAAGCTGCAGAAATGTTCAATGATTACTTCCACTCAGTATTTCTAACAGAAAAGGTGCTGCTATTTCAATCCCCACTACACCTGTATGTGAAGAGACTATTACTGACATTATTTTAGACCCAAGTGAAGTATATGACGTTCTTCATTGCCTCGATCCTAGTAAAGCATCTGGTCGTGATAATATACCAATCCGCTTACTAAAAGAATGTGCGCACTCCATCACACCGTCATTAACGTGTCTCTTCAACAAATCCTTAAAGCAGGTTTCCCTACCATCAGAATGGAATCTGTCCAACATCATCCCTCTTCATAAAAAAGGAATCAAGAGTTTTGTTGAGAATTACAGACCAATTTCCCTCATATGCGTTGTTGCGAAAGGTTTAGAACGTTGTGTTTACAACCGTCTGATTGGTCATATAAAGAACATGATATCCGTTGCACAGCATGGTTTTCTGAGAGGAAAGTCTTGCACAGGTCAGCTCATTTCCGTTCTTCACCGCATCAGTCAAAACTTGGATTCAGGGGAACAAACAGATATCTTGTATTTCGATGTTGCTAAAGCGTTTGACACGGTGAATCATAACCTTCTTTTAAAGAAACTCCAACGATTTGGACTTAAGGCCAATATTTTAACGCGGTTTAAAAGTTATTTATCCGGACGACAACAGCGTGTACTATTCAATGGTGAGATTTCAGAGACTCGTTCAGTTTCCTCCGGCGTTCCGTAAGGATCAATACTCGGACCATTCCTGTTTCTCATCTACATAAACGACCTTCCTGAATCATTAACTTCCACCGCTGTTGACGTTTCCTTGTTTGCCGACGACACAAAATGCATCTCCGTTGTTGAATCACCGGTTGACGTCTGCGTCCTTCAAGCAGAAGCGAGAAACGTAATTGGCTGAGTTTTGGAGGCTCAAATTCAACGCCGAAAAATGCAAAGTTTTGAGCGTTACGAGAAAACGTCATCCTCTTGTTGCTGAATACATTGTCAACGGTAAACTTTGCAGCATGTTTCCTGCCAGAAAGACCTCGGAGTGGCGGTTTGTGCAGATCTCAGATGGAACACTCATATTTACGAGCAAGTTACGAAAGCCAAACGCCTACATGGTATGCTCAAACGTTCGACTCTCAAGGTTAAAAACGTAAATACACGACGCTGTCTCTACCTTACACTCGTGAGATCCCATCTTGCTTATGCCTCACAAGTGTGGTGTCCACCGACTATCACCATGTGTATGGATCTCGAAGCATACAACGTAGCGCGACCAAATTCGTACTGTCTTTACCATTCCAGACGGACATGCCATACGAAACGAGACTAGCTGCGTTGAATATGCTACCTCTCTGTTACTGGCACGAATATCTTGATATCCTGTTCCTCTTCAAAAGCAAACATGGCTTGGTTAAAACTGATATCCTACACGAAGAATTTGACACTCTGACTTCAACCATAAATCTACGCTCTTCTAATAACGCTCTTGTAAAATATAACATTCCTAAAGTCAGAACGCTATGTCATCAGAACAGTTATCTTGTACGAGCATCGCGTGTGTGGAACTGCTTACGAGATGAGCTACGGAAACCAGAACTATCATTCCAGAGCTTTAAATCACGTGTTATATACTGTTACTACTCGTAAACATTAACTGGCCGTGTTTGACCAGGAAAATCCGCAGACGTGGAAATCAGTTTGTCTGAAATGCCATAAAGCCAGGCAGCTTACTGCAACAATGAAATGTTGTTCTTAATTGAACTAGTTATTTTGGCAATTATTCAGTGTAGTATACTTCATTTTATCCGAT